GAGGTCGTCGGCGTGAGTGCTTGCCTTCTTACTTTTGACGATCATATCGTCAACGTAAGCCTCCATGGTGCGTCCCAGGACAGCTTGAAAGACCCTAGCCACCATTCGGGTGTAGGTGGCGCCTGAATTCTTGAGACCGAAGGCCATCACGAGGTAGCAGAAGATGCCTTCGGGTGTCATGAAGGCAGTTTTTTCAGCGTCTTCTTCATGCATATAGATTTGATGATACCCGCGGAATGCGTCGAGGAAGGACATGATTTCGCATCCCGCGGTCTCATCCACCAGTTGATCAATGTTTGGCAGAGGGAAGGGGTCCATAGGGCACGCCTTATTCAGATCAGTGTAGTCCACGCACATGCGGAAGGTAGGAGGCTTCTGTGCAAGGACTACATTCGCTAACCAAGAGGGGTATTTCACCTCCTTGATATGTTTGATGGAGAGGAGCATGGCTACCTCCTTCTTCACGAACTCCCTTCTCTCGGCCGAGAGGGGTCTTCTCCGCTGTTGTACTGGTTTGGCCGAAGAGTCCACCGCTAGGCGGTGGGTGATGACCCTTCGGTCAATTCCCGGCATATCCTCCGGCCCCCATGCAAAAACAATGGAGTAGGCGCGGAGGGCTTTGGTGATGCCAGCCTTCAAGTCTTCGGGGAGCTTGGCTCCAATCTTCAGGACTCTCTCCGGCTTGGCCGGATCGAGCATCAAGTCTTCGGTCTCCTCGGCAGGCTCAGCTCTCGGCCTGCCTTCTTCTTCCTCCAAAGCCCTGGCGGTGATGGTGTCCACACGTAGTTCTGTTTTACTAACCTTCTTGGTAAGTTGAAGGTAGCAGGCCCTGGAGAGTTTTTGATTCCCCCTCGAGTAGCCGATGCCGGTGGGTGTGGGGAACTTGAGGCAGAGATGCCTCATGGAGATGACGGCTTCCAAATCCTCGAGGGCGGGACGGCCGAGGATGATGTTGTGTGCGCAGTCGAGGTTGACGACGACGAATTCCACTTCGAGCTTGGCTCTATGGGATCCGTCGCCGAACTCAACCACGAGGGTGATGACGCCCTCGGCGTCTATGCTGTCCCCCGTAAATCCGGAGAGGGGGGTGTTGATGTGCCGGAGGGACCCCCTGTCGAGTCCCAACTCTTGAAAAGTGCTGAGATACATGACGTTGACAGAACTCCCTGTGTCAACGTAAGTCCGGTGGATGATGGCGTTATTGATCTCAGTGCGGATGACGAGGGCATCCCTATGCGGCAGGGAGCCCGAGGGGAGGTCCGCATCTGTGAAGAAGATGGGATCCGCCCTCGGCCTTTTAGTAGGGGGCATGTGATTGACCTCCCCAATGTAGAGGGACTGTGCCCACTTCTTCCTTTGGCTCGTTGAATCGCCTCCGGTGTTGCCGCCGCTGATCATATGAATATGGCGCTTGTATTGTTGATGGGAGCCCTCTCCCTCGTCGTCGAGGCCCCCAATTTCTCGCTTCTTCCCCTGTGGGTTTCCCAAGGGGATGGTGTTGGGGTTCACCCATTTGTTAGCCTTCGGCGGAGGCCCTTGATGATGAGGGGGGCCCTGGGGAGGAGGCCCCCTGATAAACTGAGATAAGTGGCCCGCCTGTATTAGCCTCTCAATCGCGTTCTTCAGCTGATGACAGTCGTCGGTTTTGTGCCCATGGTGGCGGTGAAAGCGGCAATAGGGCTCATCAGGGCCGATGGCATAGATCTCGAGGGGTGTCCGGGAGTCTCGCTCCACGAGCCCTCGCTCTTCTGCATGATCGAGAATGACGCTGACGGGATGCGTCAAGGGAGTGCGTGGGTGCTCAAGGAGGACGGGTTGCGCCCATGCCTTTGGATTGTTCTTGTAACCGCCCCCGGGTCTGGCTTGGCCACCTCGGGAGCGATCGTTGTACTGTGCCTCTCGGTTGGCCGAAGGGGGAGGCCCTCCGGGCCGATTCCTGCCTTCATTCTTCTGGGAAGGATCCGTGTTGCGGCGGTCCTTCTCGATTTCCTCCGCTTCAGCATATCGGTCCCCCCGCTGAAGGGCCTTTGTATAATCGCGGGGGGGATCAGTAATGAGGCTCCGGGAGAAGTTACCGTTGCGGAGGACGGTGTGGAAGAGGGCCATTAGTGTCCTGTCATCAGCGCCTTCGACCTCGAGGGAGGCCTGCCTCCAGCGTTCCAGGAAACTCCGAAGGGTCTCCTCCTTCTGTTGTCTCACATTCAGAAGGTGGGAGAAGTGTTTCTTTGAGCGGTGCCTCCCGGCAAACTGCGTAAGGAAGCGGTGGGCAAGTTCTTGCCAAGAATCAATGCTGCCTTCGGGCAACCGGTTGAACCACTCATACGCTGGTCCCTCCAAGGTGGAAAGGAACCAACGGCATAAGTATTCATCCGATGCCCCCATCATCATCATGCTGTTTTGATAACGGCTATAGTGCTCCTGGGGATCCGTCTTCCCCTCATACGGTTTGATAGGTTGCCCCCGATATTTGTGGGGGATTTTGGCCGCCAACACCCTTGGGGTGAAAGGCGTCCTAGTGCGGAGCTGAATGAGGGGCTCGCCGGAGCCTTCGGCCAGTTTACGTTTCATTTCCTCCACCTGTGCCCGGAGGTCAGCGTACTCCGGATCTGGCCTCGCTGTGGAAGCCGTCGGGGGTGCCTGGCGATTCTCCTCGAGTTGACGGAGGAGGGCTTCAATGATTTCGTCCTTGGGGTCCTTCGGAGCAACCCCTTGGGAGTTGGCCCGGAAGGACTGCGCTTGATTGATCTGGTGTCTGGCGTCATCGGCATGGAGGGTTGCTTTGCCCTTGCTTCGGGGCGGAGCTATGCCCTCGGCTCCCGAAGCGGAGGCTCCGCTCTCCTGAGGCCTGCTGAAATCCTGTTTGCCGAGGCGGTCTTGGACCCCTCGGCGTACGGGAGCTCCCCCAAGCCTCTCAAGTGCAGAGGTCCGGGGTTTCTCCTTCATCAAGGGACGTTTATCCCTGGATTGGGCCTCTTGGGAGGCGGTGTCCTGTGCCATGATCCCTTCGGCGTTTCCAATCCCCGGGGGAGGATTGGTGAACAGAGGAGGGAGCGGTGGTAATTGAATAACATTCCCTCCAGCGTAGGGCTGGAGGGGTGCCTGAGAGGCGAGGGCTCCGGAATTGAGAGCCATGTTTTGAACAAAAGCCGCAAAGGCAGCCTGAAGATCGATGGCCGAGGCCGGAGGAGGAACTTGGTTCTCACTCCGATCCCTCCTTCGATTATCAAGGCCAATGCGGGCATCGGGGGTGTTCTTCTGCAGCTGCTGACGTAGGTCAGCGGTGGCTTGCTCTAGTTCGAGGATGACACCACCCTCGGGTACTAAGAGCCTGTTGGAGGCCTCAACCCCGTTAGTTTCGCCGGGGGCTACGTAGTTTTCCTCGAGGGTCTTGGATTGGGCACGGGTGGTTCTTCCCATTTTTGGTGAGTGTTTCGTATTTGGTAGAGGGGGAGGGTTTCTCACTTGATTGTTCTGACCTCTCAACGAGAGCACCAAATGGTGGACAGTCTACCCGGGGGGTATCTTATCCGAGGGGTTATTGCGGGAATAACTAGAGAGAAGTCAGAGCAAATAGGAGGAGAGAGAGTCGATTTTATTAAATGAACTCAGCGTGGTGTTGAGATGTAGATTGTGTCTCCATTACAAGGAGAAATAGGCTGCTATTTATAGCAGCAATAAATGCGATGAGGGGACACGTGTCAGTAATCCAACGGCCGAAGGGTCACATCAGCCTAGTGGTGCTGGCAGTGGTACGTCAACCGCATTGAATGCGGTTGGCGGATGCGACGTGGCATTAAATGCGGTGGTTGGCTGTCTCTAAAAGGAATCTTCGATGATTGAGCTAGTTCAGCCGTAGGCTTCTTGCGTAGCCGAGGGCTTCTTGTGTAGCCGAAGGCTTGGCTGAGCCGAGGGATTCCCCTGGTGCCGAGGGCTCCATAGTGCCGAGGGCTCCCGTTTTCTGTCAATTTCTCCCAGTAGCTTCGCATGGTCGAATATGGCAGTTCTGTGGGTTCTGGAGCCTTCGGCCAAGGTGGCCGAAGGCATCCCTGTGTGTACCGTGGCCTTCTTGACGCTTGGGCCGCCGAATCTTGGGCCTCCTGAGCTCCTTGAGCTTGTTGGGCTTGTGATATATTAGTAGGAGTCTTTGGGCCGGGGGTTCCTGGGCCATATACTCCATCAGCATGGGTGGACATGATGTCGGAGATTGATGATGTCATATAAGGTTTGGAACCTAGGGTCAAATCTATGCCAATGTAAAGAGATGCACTTGAGCCCAAGCTCTAGAATTGCATTGGGTAGATATAAATTGGATGCATTAGGGTTGGACCCTATGTATTGTCGTGACTAGTGGTCACGGGGTTTGGGAAATATTTTGTGATAAACATGGGCCTATGGGTCGACTACTTGACTTTATATAAAGTAAGTTTTGCCCTAGCTTAAGTGTGACTTTAACTAGTTATTAAGAAAAAATTACACAAATATTACTACTTTAAACCTCACTAACAAAAATATGACTTTTTGCTCTAGCTTAATCCCATGATCCCCATACATGTTCCGTGTTATAAGTCACTTTCTTGTAACTCCCATGACTTTTGGTAATATTTATGTTAATTATGCAAAAATCTCATTTATTAAAGTAGTTCGATTTTTTATTTAAAAACAAAAAAGTAGTTCAATTTTTTTCTCATTAAACTACACTTGTTAGATTGAAGTATTAATTAAATAGTTGAAATTTTAGTTAATTAAACTATTAAACTTGTTAGATTGAAAGTATTTATTAAAATAGTTGGGATTTTAGTTAATTAAACTGTAGTTAATTAACATATATTTTGTAGTTAGTTAAACTATACTTTCTTCTCTCAAAAATATATATTTTATGAACATATTTAATAAATAATCAAATTTATAACATTTGTTATTAGTTGCATTACTTTTGTACTCATATTAACATATTTGTTAGAATTTAATATTTGTTACATTTTTAAGATGAAACGTGGTAGACATTCTGTAGATATCGGTAACCTCCACCGCAACCGAAAGAAGGAGATTGCGAGGAATCATCCTTCTTCGCGCAAAAGTAAAGGACATATCAGGTCTTCTTCTTAAAGCCCGGATTATTTTGAAATGGATTACCAATGAAGAGATGCAAATGCGATGTCCGACAAGCAACTAGAACAACTATTGGCCCAACAAGATGGGCGCTTTTTCCAACAACGTGACATCCCCGACATTGAGGAAGAGCTCGAGGATGAGGATGCGGAGGAGGACGGTCCTTCGCCGGCCGAGGACGAGGGTGTCGGCACCCCGGACGCTGACACCACGACGAGGACGAGGTTGGTTCATCCCAACCCGGTAAAAAAGGTAAATCTATCCTTATGGAAAATAAGTATACAAAGTGGAAGGACCTGAAAATCGAGAAGTGATACGCAACTTGCAATCATTGCAATCAAGATATTAGCTAAGGGATTTCACAAGGATACGGGGGCGCCAAACGGCATCTTAAGGCCCGTCACCCCGTGTAGTTTGCGAAATTAGACAAAGGCAAGGGGAAGCAAACTCAAATATCGAGGTTTGTAACTGGCCAACCCTTTGGTAATTTCTCCTATGATGATTCCAAACATTTGACTGGTATGTCACACTTAATTGTTGAAGAAAATTTGCCTTTTATTTTTTTTGAAAGTCTTGCTTTAAAAGAATATGCTCAAGGTACTAAAATTTTCAATTTAGAAATTCTAGTCGCAAAACGATTAAAAAAGAAGTTATAAGGCAATGTGGTTCAAAAGGCAAAATTACAAATGTTTTTCGCAAACTTTGATGGGCGTGTTAGTATTTGTAGTAATATATGGGAGGATACTCATCATCATTTATATTATTTGGGTGTCATTGCACATTATATTGATGATTGGGAAATGCATAAACATGTTCTTGCTTTTTGTAAATTTAATGATCGACACACCGCTGATAATATTTATATTCTCATTGTGTGTATTTTAATTGAGTATAATTTGATTAATAAGGTGTTTGTTATGAGTTTTGATAATGCCAGTAATAATACTGTTGTTATATCTAGATTGCGTGAGTTGTGTGGTTCTTCTACTTTGATGGGTAAGTTTTTTCATCAGGGATATGCATGTCATATTCTCAATTTATGTGTAAAAGACAAGCTAGCCGCGTTAGGAAATGCTATGGAGATAGTGAAAGGGAGAATTATACTTATTTGGGCTAGTAATTCACTTAAAATGCAATGGCGTAATTATTTGAGGGAATGACGTGTCAAATATTGTGCTTTTCCTAAAGATTTGTCTATCCGTTGTAATATTACTTATAACTTAATTGTTGTACTTATTAGATTTAAAGACCATTTTCCTGCTTTTTTAAAAGAATATGCTAACTATATTATAAACCGACTGACATCGACGCTATGCAAAAAATTGTGAATGTTTTGGTATTTTTTAATAATGCAACTCAAACTTTTAGTCATGTTTATAAACCTACCGCAAAGCAATTTTTTCGAGAAGCTGTTAATCTCGCCAGTGCTTTTTGTGAATTTTTCGATGCCCCTTACGTTAGTTATTTTTGTTCTTTCATGAAAGAAAAGTTTTTAAAATATTATTCACATATTCCGCATATATATTGTATTGCATTTATTCTTGATCCTCGTTACAGAGTTAATGCTTTGCAACAATGTTTAGACTACTATTATGCTTCTTTTTTTGGTCCATTTCCTATATACGAAGATAAGCCCATAGATCCTAAACAAGAATACAACAATGTTAGTAATTTATTTCATCAATTACTTAATGAGTTTCATGCACAATATGGTAACACACCCCCTCCCCCGACACGAATATCGTCATCTAAAGGAAAATCATTTTTGAAATCTACATTTGGCAATCTTATGAAAAAAATTAAATCAACTCCCGTTGTTGAACAAAGCTCGATCAACGAGCTTTCTACGTATCTAACATTTCATGTTGACTATGAAGAAAGGGATGACTTTGCCTTTCTAAAGTGGTGGAAGGATAAAGAAAGAACGTTCCCGGTTTTTATGTAAGATGGCTAAGCAAGTGCTAGCAATGCCGGTATCAACAGTTGCCGTGGAACAAGAATTTAGTGCGGCTGGCAACGCGCTAACGGATTATAGAACGAGATTGAGCGCAAACTCTCTTGAGACGCTTGTTTGCTTCCACGATTGGTTGAAGGTCCAACGTAGAACTCAAAAAGTTAGCATCGCCCCCACCCGCCACTATGAAGGAAACAACAACCGACGTTGGCAGAGATTCCGATTGATTATTATTTATTAGAAAATGTATTTCATGTTTTAAATTTTTCTCAATTCTCAATTGTAGTTCATATTTCAGATAAATATACTTAAAGTTTTTTATATGTAGCACTTCTTGAATTAATTTGTAAACAAGATTTAAATTAAAAAATTAAATGCCCGGACCCAACCCGGCCCGGCCCGGCCCGATACCTGGGCGGGTAGACCGGCCCGGTCCCGGTAAATCCCGGGCCGGTACTCGACTTCAACCCAAAAAAATTAAGCCCGCCGGAGGCCGGTACTCCCTTGGAATCAAGCATCAATAGTTTCATTAACTAGGCATGGTCTCGTGGATAAATGGATAATGCTCTCTCAGTTCATATACATAACATATAACTACAAGTTGGTTTCTTGCATATTCAATATTCATATAGGTCTTATTCTGCGATTGGTTAGCTACGTTTTTAGTGAAATTTGTTGTTTAATGATAGCGGTTAACAAGTTCAATGACTTACAAAGACATCATTGTATAATTTATTGATCAAAAAAAGCATTCATATATTTAGAGCAATAAGTTTAAGGATACATTACTTATGTACATTTTTTGTGTACTTCCGTATGTTGCATCCATTTATTAGATGTTTAAAAGTTAGACAACTATTCAACATCCAATAAATGGGGGGGGGACGTAAGATTTTACCCCAAAAAATGTACAATTAAAATGGTATTATGTTGTTTTTCATCTTATTTTAGTAATATTCTTGTAAAAACCCATTTTTCATCTTAATAACGTTTTCTGCTTGATCTTTTATTCCAAGTCATTGGGGCAAAAGCTGTTCACTGTAAAAAAGAGGAAAAAAAAAAACTGCTCAGCGAACTTGGTCAAAAACACCAAAATCCATCTAAACCACTATTTTTTAGTCTAAAACGTTTTTACCAAAGGTCCTGTAGCTACGCAAATTGTCTTATACAATGTATGAGATTCAAGTTGAAATCAAATATGTTAGCACCTAAAAGGGCATTCCACAATATTTGGAGATCAAATTCGTTAGGCGCTCAAAATGTAACTTATACTCAGTGCAGGTGTTCACAAAGAGCGTGAACTATGACAATGTAAGATTACAAATTCACAATCAAACACAGAAACCAGAATCACAAAATAATGAAAATCCAGAAGGCTTGGTTGGTCGGGAAACCATGAAGTAAACAAACAAGATGATCATTGGTACCTCTCTCTCCGCATTTCAAACTCACGCTTCCTCTTCAAATATGCTTTTCTAGCTTCAAATTCCTCCCGGCTCATAATAGGAGGGCCAGCATTAAATCCCATAATAGCCTGATCTCTGTAGTTTAACATTTTAGAAGAAATTACACAAGAACATCTTAATTGGCAGTGAAGGTTCCAAAAAGGATCCCATAGAGATATCGAACTACAAAAGAAAGAGTAATCATATTATATAACCTCTGAGGAGGGACAAAAGGTGGTAACATGCAACTTTGTCCTCCAAATGGATTCGGTGGCACCATCGGACCAAATGGAACATCCAACGGGCCAAAACCATAATTCATAAATGGCATGGGACCAGGAAACGGGCCTCCAAATCCGTCCAATCCAGGTTGCATTCCTGTCCAATATGGATTCTAAGAAGGACCCATGGGCATCATATAATTCTCAGCACCCATATCCTGGGATGCTCTCCACTGCATCTCTGCAACTGCAAAAGCATCCAGAGAAAAGGCCAAACGGAAATCACTAGCCTCAAGAGTTGAAAAACAAAAAGGAACAGAATTCAAATTATACGTAGTAATTCTCAAAAGAGTGTACCGGTTGAAGGCATGCGGGGTTTCTTCTTTTTCTTCTTTCCTGGAAAGCAAACAATAAAGAGATATAGTGGAATGCAAGGGCACAACATGTTTCACAAGTACTATTGCTTCAAAAGTTAACTCCTTTAAAACTATTATCTACTTGGATCAAACCATACTCTACTACCCAAAGTTCTAAAAGGTACCACATGCAGACATGCTAGACGGGTGGTGGTGCATCTTATTCAAAATTTTCTGCAACATACTATTCATTTCTCTATTCCTTATTTTAATTATTAAATTTTTTTTATGTTATTTTTAATATTATTAATTAATGAGTTTATATTTTGAGTCATGAAAATAGATTAAATATCTATTAAATTTTACACTTTTGTTGTTAAATAATAATCAATAAATAATGAATAAGAGCAAATGAGAAATATTAATAAATTAAAAAGATTCATATTTCTAATAGTCTAAAGGAGTGTTTGCAGTTGCTTAAAAAAGCGTTTTTCAGCTTTTGGCTTAAAAAAAGCTGAAAATAGTGTTTTCAAATGACAACTTCTGCTTAAATTAATCACTTAAAAGCTTAAAGCTGGACGCAGGTGGAAGGGTGCTTTAAACTGCTTTTCACTTTTTCTATTACACAAAAAGTACTTATTTTACCAAACACTACCAACTTTTACTTTTTCAGAATCACTTTTTTCTCAAACACTACCAACTTTTACTATTAAGTACCTTCTCCAAAATCACTTTAAAAAATCGCTTTTTTAAAGTAGAAGCAATCGCAAACACTCCCTAATACAATTGGAAGTTTTGTTTTTTCTTGTAAAAGTAGTAAATAACATTTTAATTGAAATAGAATAAGTAATGATTAAACAATGTTATTCAGACAGAGCAACAAAAATAACATTTGGGCTGCCAAGTCACCCTTCTAACAGACCTAGCCTGTTCTAGGCAGCCTCCCAGCCTGCCTAAGCACCCACATAGCCCGGGTAACCTTCTAGGCACCCTAGTCGGCTGATCAGTTTATTTTACCGTACTAGGATGAAATTGGAGCGCCCAACCTGGTGCCTAGAAGGACGCCTATCCCGACATTTAGAAAAATATACTACCCTTTAATCAATGTACAAAAATAAAATTTTGGTTAGGTAGAACGAACATCAAAAAAATTATTTGTTAGATTAACTCAATGTGGAAAAAGTAAAAAAAAAAGTTTAGCTAACAAATTTATCAAAATTTGGGCACATTAGATCATAGGCGACTCTTCTTCGGGTCAAAACTAGATTTTAAAAATGGACATTTTTTAGCGGAGTGTATGGCATAGGCTACAATTAGATTACAAAAGAATTACAGAAGCAACAGTATGCTTTTAACTGGAAGTATATCCATCATAGAACAATTGATTAACTTACCAGCATCTAAAGCAGCTTGCTTCTGCTGGACTTCATCAACCAGTGGAGCACTTCCCTGAGAAGCTGGTTCTTTCACACTAATTGACTCATGTGTAGCTTCTGAAACATCAACCACCTTTAAAGTTTTCCCTCTCTCCAACACTTTAGAACAGTCTCCACCTTTACTTCGTTTATTGCTTCTTGAGCCTTCAAAGTCTCTTCCTTCTGAAGAGGTGGTGCCAGGAGCATCTTATCTCCTCCTCGCAAAGCAACAGATTGTGAAGGGGACGGAATCGTAGGATAAGGAGTTCGAGCAGACTCCATATCTGAACATGTAAATAATAGTTAATTGATGATTGTTATGCAATAACTCCTTTTTCACTAATGCTAAAAAAAAAATCAGCACCCAAAAAATAAACCTTGAACTTGAAGGACACTGCCTCCATGTTCACTGCTGTTATTAGACTCCAGAATTCGATTGATGGTGTCTCTTAGAGTCTTATTGGGTAAAAGGTCATCAGCAAGAACATTAGTCGCCCCACAGACACACATCAATTTAGAAATGATGCAATCTCTTATACATGATGACAATAATAAAAGCTTAAAACACCATAGGCTGCTGAAATAGCATGTGATTGTAAAGGAGAGCAACGGGTCAGAATCTTACATTTGTCACAGAAACTCTTGAAGCAACACTTGCTAGTAAGGACAGCATCTTTCATGACTTCTTTACATAATAGACAATGAAGTTCTGGAGGAAGCTCGCCTATGGAGCGCGTAGAAGGCATGCCCTCAACTTCATTATCAAAGGCAGCCCTGCAATGATTTCAAAACAATAGCTTAGAACGAGATTCTTAGTCCAGGAATAATACACCAACCTGATCCAACTTACTCATTTGGCTTCATAACAGCACTGGCCCCACTTGGTAAAGCATATGAACCGTCTGGGGTAGTCACTAGCATGGACTTTGGAATACCAGTTGGAGGCTTCACCTTCCTGACGTCAAAATTGGGGTCACCATTTGTTGGACAATGTTGAATAAAATGCCCTACAAACATTTTCAATTTAGTGAAAACAATAAAATTTGTACTTTTAGTTTTTTTGGGGACTAAGGCTTGGATGTCGTTGTTGAAGGTTTTTTAATAAAGTGTTTAAACTGCTTTTGTGAAGTATAAATCATTTTGAATAAAAACAGGATTGGTCAAATCTCAACATCTTTGATGACCAAAAAAGTAAAACCTGGCAAACCTTTTTAGGACAGAGGGATGTATGTCAGTATGTGGGTGAGTGTCAAGTGTCAACTAAAAGAGTATAAAATATTTTTGATGTAATGGATGTATTTTCCTGTGAAAACTGGAACCAAATAAACAGAATAATGTAAGATAATAGAATACAACAACAACATCCAAGCCTTAGTCCCAAAAGCAAGATAATAAAACGCAATAAAATGAAATAAAACAAAATAAAAAATTAAAAAGTCTTACTGCTGCCACTTAATCTTGGTCTCTTGATCAGTTTTACTAGAAGGTGGAGCTCTTGGACAGGACTACTTGACTGAAGTGGCAACTCAAGAATTGCGTACAAATCGTTGCAGAAGTAAGAATCATTGCATGAAGGTGCTCCATGGATACTAAATTGAGCACATTACTATTCTTCTACACGCCCTTCTGTTTGAATAAGTCCTTCTATCAGCATAGTATATGTTTGAGGATGAATCAGGTTACCATTTTTTTCCATGATACCTAAAACCTCGGAGCATCTATCAGAAAGCCCTCTCTTAAGTAAGCCATCAATTAACAGTTTCCATACAACTTCATCATTATTATAACCACAGTTAAGGAGCTTTAAGAAAGCTTCCTCAGCCCTTCCATTACGTCCTTCTTCATAGAATCCACATACAAGGAAATTGTAGGCCTCAAAATGTGGTAAATAACCATGCATAACCATTGTATCAGCCAAATTTGCTGCATCA